TTTATTTAAGCCTGTGTCTCCGAAGTTCAAATATCTATCATTTGTTTATCTATCTGCACAGCCATGATTGACAAGTACAATGAATGAAAATGTCTCATTCCTGTCTGGTTTGCCTTTCATTACACTGGGCAGTGATATGCTGTGGACCGCAGAGGACAAAGACAAAACAGATATTTTAAAAGGGTTGGTTAACAATATCTACTTGTTCATTCTACATTGAATTTTAAAGGTATTTAGGACTTAAAATTTTTTTGAGAAATGATGAGAGGGTAGTGCAAACTCTGATGTAGCCAATAAAATCTGGACCTCAAATAAGCGGTTGCTGAAAGTGTCCACTAGTCCCAGAGATCCCGAGATCGATAGTTTAGCTTGGCCCCTGAAGCCAATTAAGAGCTTTATCTTAGCATAAAAATAAAAAGGAGTTAAAAACTTCCCTTCCCAGCCTTCTTCTCCCTTCATTTTTTTTAAAAATTGCGATTTGCAGTTTTTCTTTTAAAAAGATCTGGGACTCTTTTTAAAGAGGGAATGGGATTGATGTAAGGAAAGTGTCATTTACCAGGGGAGAAAATGCTTATAATGGTGAGTTTCAAGGACATGTTTCAACGAGAAACACTTGGTGCTTCGCTAGAAAGAGGCAGGGGCACAAAATTCAGTGTCTTGGAATAATTCCCTTCCTGGATTCAAAGATTCATTTATTGAAATAAATCAGGAAGCATTGGCAGAACGGAAATCCGCTTGCTGGGTTTAAAGGGTCTTTAAAATGTTCCGAGTGTTAGATTGCAAGTCTTTTCTAAATACAAAACAGAAGAAAAGACCGCAGTGTTTCCTTTGGACTTAAAACTGCTATATATCCGACTTGGGATAATTTCATGTCCGTCACAGAGATTGTGTTTTAAGAGGAAATTCTGCCCCATAGCACAACTGCTGTACATGTTTTGTTTTTTAGCAGGCTGGATCGAAGAGAAAAGTGCTGCAAAGTGGGGCTCTGGGTTCTGTGGAGAAACCAGTTTGTCCCTACTGCCCGCCTGGATGTTCTATTTCCCTCTTGCTTCTCCAAGATGGATCCTAAAATTCTGGCTCAAAAGCTTTTCTCGTTTAGCAATGATCAGTTTCTCTGATTTTATTTATTGCTTCAGATTTGGGCATGAAAATAAATCTTTTTCCTATTTACTGTTTGAACTCAGTGTGAGGGAAAGGATCCCATTATATTTCCTATCCATACAGACATGTGGATATTTAGACCAGACCACATACAACTGGGGGACACATAAAAGAGATTTATTGGTTAATTTATGCCGCCTAATACACATGTAAACCCCAGTAAGCCAACGCTGCCGAGGGAGCCTCGGTTCTAGCGTAAAATAAGAACCACGACCCCTGGGTTCCAGTCTCCCTGCCCTGTCCAGTGCTTCCTTACTCCACCTGAGAAACGAAGCCAGAGCTCTCTTCTGTCTTTCCCCAGCCTGTGTGCAGAAAAAAACTTTTCTTCGCTTGCCTTCCACCACCACTCCGCTCCTCTCAGACTCAGCTCCCTAAAGCCCCCTGTCCCCCGAAGTTGTCCCCAGGGTCTCCTCCGAAAAGGGAGTTGAGGGGTGGGTGCTGCAGGTAATCAGGAGAACCTTGCCTATTATTATTGTTGTTGCCTAACAGGAGTGGTTTGCTTCGGGGGTTCGGGGGGGGGGGCGCGTTAGTTGTTTTCTTAGGCGGTAACTTGCTATATCTGGAGGTATTTCGCTTTCTATCGTGTTCCAAGGGTCAGGGTTCCCCCTCCCCGCCCAAGGAAACCTCCACCCACACCAACCGAAACAGAATTCGAAATGGCCTGCCTCTGCCCTGCAGCTCACAAAGTCCCTAGTCTCGTCCTCTTGGGGGTATCTGGGGTCCCTGCGCCCCGCCAAGCAACGATACCCCCTCAAGAGTCGCACACTCGGGCTGGGCCGGGCTGTCCCAGGAAGGGCTCCACCGCCCGGGGTTCTGGCCTGGCTGAACCGCCTTAGGTCGGCCCCTTAACAAGCATCCCCCCTCCCCACTTCTCGGTTGATGATCTAATTGAATTATGCCTTTTTGTTCCAGGGACTACAGAGCACGTGCTGGAGGCAATTAATTATCGGAATGTGGTCAGATGAAGACGGACAGTGGGCCCTGGGTAGGTCAGCGGCGGCAACATCCCCCGCCCTGCGCTCGGGACCCCTCCCCCCAAAGGGGCAGGAGAGGGGCCCTCGGCCGCCCTCCTTCCTCGGCTCCTCTTTGCCCCCGCAGCCCCGACCCGGACTCCCAAACGCGCGTAGGCCCCTGGTTCTCGGGGTACCTGGCGGGGCTCCCCGGAAACCCTCTCATCAGCGCTGGCAGGGCTAGGGCTCGAGAGCCACCTCTCCGCCGCCCCCGAGCCCCGCTCTCCTCGGGCTGGCGCCGGAGGAGATTCAAACTTTTTCTAACCAGCTGCGCGCCCAGGTTCCGTGGGGGCTGGTGGGAAAAGAAGAGAGATAGAAAGAAGGAAGGATATAAAGGGGGAAGGGAGAAGAAAAGCGGAAGAGAAAGAAAAGCTATCCTCCCTTTTTGTAAAGCTGACTCCAGGGAATTCATTTGCATAATTTAGGCTTATTTGTTCTTCTCTGAACCTTCCCCTCCACCCCACCCCACCGCACCCCACCCTTCCCGCAAAGAAACCCGCTGCTGAGCGACTCTGCCACCAGTCTTGGCGAGCCTGTTTTCAGTAGCTGTAATCATTTAAGTCAGCAGTGAACTCACCTTCCAACCTGGGGAGAGAGCTCTGATGTAGAGAGAGAATTGGGGTGAGTTTGAAGGGGAGGGGGTGACTACGGCAAGTGCGCTAGCGGCAGGGTTCCCCCCCAGCAAACTGGCAAAGAAAGAAGGCGAAGTCTTGACCAGGCCAGGAGGAATGGGGGGCAGGAAGTGAAAGGCTGCAGTTTATAAAGCGCTGCTTGAGGCGGTCTCTCCAAGCGTCTCTGAACTTGATCAGATGTTCTGTTTCCTACGGAGAGATGGCGGCCAGGCTGTGAGGCTGCCTCAAGGCACAGACTTTGGGGCTCGGCTCCTCGGGGTGAGACAATCACAGCCACCTTTCTCTCTGTCTCTCTCTCTCTTTTTTTTTTTGGCCATTCTCGCTCTCTTACATTCTTTGCAAATGCCCTGCCGAACAACAAAAAAAATGAGTGGATTTATAGCTCTGTCTGAACCTGGTCGTTATGTCCAGAAAGACCTTGCACCAGACAGGAGAGGGGGCCCTGATCCCACACACAACCCTAGAAAGACAATCTTTAAGGGTAAGAAGTTCCCGAGGTGACTGGATGCTTCTGCAGGTAGGAGGAGAAGAGGGCAAAGCCCTGGCAGTTCAGAGGGAAGAAAATTCCACCTCACAAGCCCCATTCCCGCCCCCACTTTTGCATTTGAAAATGTTGAGAGTTCGAAGCTGATTAGCCCAGTGGTTTGAAAAACAGGCACTGATCCGGTGTGTGTGTGTGTGTGTGAGTGAACGTGTGTGTGGTGAGTTTGCTGTGTAGTTCATGCTGTGTGCGTGTTCGGCGTGCCAGGCTAACTGTCCGTTGTGCATGTTTAGTGTTTGTGCTTCGGTGTGTTTGCAGTTATACGTGCGTGTGTGTATACTGTTGTGTATTTAATTTGCTATGTGTCTGTTTCCCTTTTTGCGTGTAGTTTGTTGTGCGTGCTTACTGCTGTGTTTGGCTGAGAGCGTGTTCAGTGTGGTGTGTGCGAGTTTACTGTGTTACATGTGTTTGCTGTGTTGTGTCTGGTGTGTTCTGTGGGAGGGCGGTGGGGACAGTGGTGAGGACAGTATCCTGTAGCCACTACTCACACACTGAAGAGCCAATGGTTGGCTCAGACGGAAGTAACGGAGATGACTCTAATTCTAACCATTGCTCCTTGTTTGGGCCTCGGCCGGCCGGCAGCGCTCAGTTCACAGACAGCGAGCCGGCCGGCCTGGGTCCGGCCTCTTGGGTCAACAGGACCCACAGCGGCGCGTGGGGAGGACGCGGCTAATGAGCCGCCAGAGTGGAAGTGCTGTTCTCGCCCCGGGATCCGCGCCCGGGGGCACATTCTCGGGGTGGTGAGGCGGCGGGTGGGGGCGCCCAGGCAGGACTGGACGTCCAGCGCCCAGCCGACGGTGGGAATGATCCTGGCGAGGCAAGGATCATTTATTTGGTCAAAGCGGGTAAAGCGGGCGCGAGGGGTGCTCGCCCGCTTCGGGCGAGGGGGCAGCCGGGGAGAGGCCCCGGCTCCGCCCCGCCGCTCGCCGGCTTGAGCCTGGCTCCAGTTCCCCCACGGCAGCGCCAGCCTCGCGGAGCCCACTCGCGGGTTCCCGGCCGCCACCGCCGCCTCACCTGCCAGGCGCCCGGCCACGGCCCAATCAGCGGCGGCCGCTCGGCCGCGGCTGCCATGTTCCCCGCTCCGCGCTGCCAATCAGTTTCGCGACAGCCAATGGGCTGTGGGGCCGGGGGTCAGGTGACCGCGGGCCAGCTGGCTCCCCATTGGCGCGCGCCGCGCGGCCTCCCGCTCGGTTTATGTGAGAGGAGTGAGTGATTGACTTTATCAGTCCAAGGACACTACTCTGGAGGCGAAGAGGCTGGGACTGGCGCGGCGAGCGGCGAGCACCGAGCCTGCCTCCTGCCCGCCGGCCGCGAGCCGGCTCTGCTTCTAAGCGCACCCTAGCCGGGAGGCACGAGCCTCCTGGTCCCGCGGCTCTGCGCTCTCGGGGAGAGGTGGGGTGCCCGGGACAGGATTGGCAAACTCCGCCCTCCACTTATTATTTTGCTTATTTTTCTTTGTGCGCGTCTGTTAGTTTGTTAAACCAGATCTAGTTCCAGAATCTTTTCTCCTCCCTTCTCCCCCCTCCTTCTCCCCCCTCCTCCCCATGAGTCCTCACACACAGAGTCAGGTGCTCCCTTCTCCCCCCTCCTCCCCCCTCCAGGTCCTTCTACTTCCCCTCCTCCCTCCTGTCCCTCTGCAGGAGACTCTCTCAGCGACAGAAAGTTGCAGTCCCTGCTTCAGCCTGAGGGATCTCCCGACCACCGTGTCCAACCGTCGCCACCCCTCTTCGACTTCGACTTTGTGGAGCTCTCCTTCTTAAGCACCCTCGATCACATCTGCAAGATCGCTGGTGTCGAAAAAGAATCACCCATGACGATGCTCCTGGACGGAGGCCCGCAGTTCCCGGGGCTGGGAGTGGGCAGCTTCGGCGCGCCGCGCCACCACGAGATGCCCAACCGCGAGCCGGCGGGCATAGGGCTGACTCCCTTCGGGGACTCGCCGCACGCCGCCGCCGCCGCCGCCGCCGCCTTCAAGCTGAGCCCCGCGGCGGCTCACGATCTGTCTTCTGGCCAGAGCTCGGCGTTCACGCCGCAGGGTTCGGGTTATGCCAACGCCCTGGGCCATCATCACCACCACCATCACCACCATCACCACGCCGGCCAGGTGCCCAGCTACGGCGGAGCCGCCTCCGCCGCCTTCAACTCCACGCGCGACTTTCTGTTCCGCCAGCGCGGCTCCGGGCTCGGCGAGGCGGCCTCGGGTGGCGGGCAGCACGGGCTCTTCGCCGGCTCGGCGAGTAGCCTGCACGCTCCGGCTGGCATCTCTGAGCCCCCCGGCTACCTGCTCTTCCCCGGGCTGCACGACCAGGGCGCTGGGCACCCGTCGCCCACCGGGCACGTGGACAACAACCAGGTCCACCTGGGGCTGCGCGGAGAGCTGTTCGGCCGCGCTGACCCGTACCGCCCAGTGGCCAGCCCGCGCACGGACCCCTACACGGCCGGCGCGCAGTTCCCGAACTACAGCCCCATGAACATGAACATGGGCGTGAACGTGGCGGCCCACCACGGGCCCGGCGCCTTCTTCCGTTACATGCGACAGCCCATCAAGCAGGAGCTGTCGTGCAAGTGGATCGACGAGGCTCAGCTGAGCCGGCCCAAGAAGAGCTGCGACCGGACCTTCAGCACCATGCACGAGCTGGTGACACATGTCACCATGGAGCATGTGGGGGGCCCGGAGCAGAACAACCACGTCTGCTACTGGGAGGAGTGTCCCCGCGAGGGCAAGTCCTTCAAGGCCAAGTACAAACTGGTCAATCACATTCGGGTGCACACGGGCGAGAAGCCCTTCCCGTGCCCCTTCCCGGGCTGCGGGAAGATCTTCGCCCGCTCCGAGAACCTCAAGATCCACAAGAGGACCCACACAGGTAAGGAGGAGGGCGGGCGGGCGCTGGGTCCGCCGCGGCCGCGCGCCGCCGAGCCGACCTGCCCCGCGAGGGAGCGAGGGGTGGCGGCCGTAGAGAGAGGCGGCGCCCCGCCGGGGCGGTTGGAAGAAGTAGCGCTGTCACGGTCCCTCCACCTCTCGCCCTCCCCGCCCCGCGGCGCTTTTGCCCAGTTCTAACTTCCCGGGTAGACGGCTCTGCGGTCTCAGGAACTAATTGGAACCTTCTCGCGCCCAGGAACCCACTGGCGCCGCCTCTTTTTGTCTCTTTCTGTGTTACTCTGGAGGGACTCCGAACGTGTGCAGAGAAATTGCTCACCAGCGACTTAGCTCTCGGCACCCAGTCGGGGGAGGCAACCATAGAAATGCTAATGAAAACTAACTTTCGGTTACTTCCGCTCTTTTTTACCCTTGATTGGCACATCTCCTAATTAAATGACTGGTACTTTTGTCAAACTATTTTTATTTGGAGTTCCAGGTTCAATTCAGTCCTCCGGGAGGAACGCTAACGTAGAAAAGGCATCCCAGTTTCGTGGCTTGTTCAGAGCATCTTGTAAAACTGTCCGGAGCCCCCTGGATTTATATAGTTTTCTCTTTTCGAACGTTAAGTACGACGACCTCAGCTTTTTAATGCTGGGCTTAGCAAAACCGATGCATTTGAAAGAGGCAAATTAAAAGGTACAAAGAAGGAACTAAAAGGGATTGTCCCGTCCCCGGTCCATTGTCCCTCCCGGGCTTGGCTGCTACGCCGAGATACCGGCTGAACGTGGCAGCGCTCGGAGGCCCCGGGCCGGGTTGAGGGGGGGTACCGCAACTCGGGGGAAACTTTGGAAGAGCCAGGGGCTTGCCCTCCGCCTGGAGAACAAAGGGACGGGCAGGTTCTGGGCCGGCCCTACCCCACCCCCGCCCCCGTCCACCTCTCCCCACCCTAGCAGGCTCAACCCGCGCTCTCCATTTTTCTCCAGGGAAAAGAGATGCCACGGCCGCCCCCAATCGGCGCTCCCTCTCCGGGCAGACCGCCGGGCGCTCTGTCTCCCGCTGCTCGGCCGGAGGATGCTCCTGGCCCTGACTCTATTTCCCCCCACCCCCTTTGCATTTCCGCCTTTTGCAGGTGAGAAACCTTTTAAATGTGAATTTGAAGGCTGTGACAGACGCTTTGCCAACAGCAGCGACCGCAAGAAGCACATGCATGTGCACACCTCGGACAAGCCCTATATCTGCAAAGTGTGCGACAAGTCCTATACGCACCCGAGCTCCCTGCGCAAGCACATGAAGGTAATTACCTCTTTATTAGCGGTCGGCGGTTTATAAACACTCTGCCCGACACCGGGCCGCGGAACGGAAGCGCCCGCGCTGCCAACCCTGTATCTTCCACGTTAAATCCGATTTGCTCCAGCGTTGACACCTTGAACCTATTTGGGGGACCGGGATGGGGGACGGGGTGGGGGGGAGCGGGAGCACAGTGGGGAGGAGGAGGGAACGGAGGGAAAGATAAGTTGTTTACTGGGAAGCTCTAACCGAGCTCGCCGGGACTGGAGGTCGCAGTGGCCGCCTCTCCCCAGCTCAACCCGCGTTGAGAACCGAGAGTGCCCGCGCCGAACCCCGGGGGGCGGGGGCTGGGGGCTCCGTTCTTCTTCGGCTTCCGGTAAAACAATAGGGCCGAGGAGCGCGGGGGGATTCCCACGCAATTGTCGGAGCCCTCGCAGCGCCCAGGGCGCCCGTGCCACTTTTCTCTGTACCTGCTTTCGCAAGCCAGAGCGGTCTTGGTGAGACTTGGGCCCGGAGTATTTTATAGGGCCCCAAAGACTACGTGCTTTCCCCGCTCCAGCCGCGGAGAAAGCATTTCTGAAGGGGCATGAATAAACTAGAGCACTTTATTCCTTTTCCACAATGCCAGTCTTAGGACTCAAACTGGTTTTTTGACGAATGTCTTGGGGTTTTCTTACACATCGGTAATGTGGAAATTAAAAACAAAACCCCCAAATCAGCAGTATTTTAAGTGGGTCACTGGGCGGTCTTGCTCTTAAGAGTGCTCTTGTTTTTGCTTGCACAATGCCAGTTGGAATTATATTCATTATAATATATACATGTTAATTTTAGGTTCATGAATCTCAAGGGTCAGATTCCTCCCCTGCTGCCAGTTCAGGCTATGAATCTTCCACTCCACCCGCTATAGCTTCTGCAAACAGTAAAGATACCACTAAAACCCCTTCTGCAGTTCAAACTAGCACCAGCCACAACCCTGGACTTCCTCCCAATTTTAACGAATGGTACGTCTGAGGACAAACACAAACCCTGTTTAACCATAGAATGGACCAAATGCATTTTAAAAAGAAAACTGAGACCAATCAGATGGAAATGGAGTTTTAAGGCAAGAGGCCATATATAGGGCTACATCTGGTTAATTGCAATTGTCCAGGAAGGTTTTTGGGCAAGATCCAAAAGTAGCCATGCCCTTTTCTCAGGATTAGAAAATATGTTTTGGCATTTGAAGGATTAAAAAAAAAATCTCACTGCTTTTTCCTCCCCTTTCTCTTGCTCTCTGCTCACCCCATCCCTAAACGCCTTCAGTTCATTTTAACTCTTGTCCTGTTTCTTGAGAGGAAGTTATGGAAGGCTTATTGGTGGTGGTGATGCTAAAACTGATGGAAAAATCTTCGCCTTAGTGGTGATTGTTTAAACTCTCACAGTCTTAAACCGTGCCAAAGTCCTGTTATGTCTTGAACTTTTCCTCAAAGCATTACACTTGTGAATGTATTTTTGTCTAATGGGGTCGAAACTGTTGTTCAGTATTTTTTCAGGCTGAGGATGTGATGTTACTCTACACAAATTGTGACGTTTAGTATACAATTGCCTTTTGTAATAACTTTCTTTTTTGTAAATACATATCCATTGATGCCATATTTATCGTTTGTAATTTAATTATTGCTACAAATGCCGGGAACTGAACAATATTTATGGATAAATGTTTTCTAACAAATTCTGTACAGCTTTTGATTATAACCGCTTTAGCATTAAAATTTATTGTTTTGAAAGAAGAACACAATTTACAATTTTTGAACCACTGACTCCTTTCTCTTGTTTTGTAACAGCCTCCTTCTACAAAGAGGAGATGTGAGCAAGTGAAATCATGTTTGTTGGTATTTATAACTCACTCAGATCCCTTTTTTAATTGTTAAATTATTTTTCTATTGCAGTATAGATTCTTTACAGTGTCAGTTTCCATCTGGGAAGACCCTCCTTTCTTTAGCTCAGATGGTTGTTTAACTGCGAGTTTAAATGTGTTTGTCCTGGATTTTCGGCATGCAAATCAAATATTACTGATCAATTCAGTTAGTGGCCATGACATCTCAATCTTGTACTTCAAAGACTAAGAAGCTGGATTTAATCATCCCTGCCCTACATATGTAAACCTAAGGTAACCTAATGAGTTTTATGTCCCTTAGTTTTTTATTATCTTACATAATAATGAACACCGCGGCAGGATGCATGTCTGTCTATTCTATCGAGAGATCACCCATATACCTATATATGTTTGTATCTATGACGTATCTAATCTGCCTATCAAATCTAGCTATCTATATATTTTCAAAAGTAAGCATATGTCTGAAACAGTGATGATGAGTAAGGCCAGTCGAGGCGTGCTTACTTATGATTAAAGTGCTTCTTAAAAGAACCATAGTCCATTTACAATTTTGGAAGGCACAGGTTGGTTTGTTTTGCTGTATATAGTTCAATTCGTAATTATCACAATTATTCATAACATTTTTATAGTGGTGTAATAACTGCAGCTGTTCTGAAATATTATGGAAAGAAAAAACATTTGCAAAATATGTATTTTTAAAAGTTCATGGTTTGTAGGCAAAGATGTTAAGAGCATTGTTTCCATTAAAATCAATAACAATGAAAAATGGTTGTTTGCTTTGTGATAAAATATTAACAATCTATTTAATCTTAAGTAAAGCAACTCATTTGGACAGTTTTTTTTACAGTTGTTATATGAAAAAGAAACATTACTATTTGGGGGGGGTGGAGTGGGTAGAGTATTGAGGGCTTTTTTTAAAACTAATTTAGGGTGCTGTTTAATATTGAGAGCCCAATCTCTGCATGAATAACCAACTTGCAAATCAGCAAATAGAATGGTGGAGATAAGGAATTGTAAAGAATTTAGAAATGTAATGAATAGGCTTAAGTATCTCCTTCTCTTGAAGGGGCAGTACTCTAGGATTTTTGGTGGCAGTCAGTTTGGTATTATACATAATCATTTTGAATTCTAGAATTTTGTTTATTGTTCTTTTTGAAGAAATAAAGTCTTGGCACATCTATTTATGTTATAACATTTTTGTATTGGTGCCTGATTTTTTTTCCATGTTCAAATAAATCAACCTTAAATTGAAAGAGAAGTTCTGATGATTAAAAGAAACTTTGATTCCTTGGATACAGTTGAAACAGTCTGTTTTAAGTTATCTACTGATCTTTGTCAACAGACAATTAGTTATTGACAGTCTCTAATTGCACATTGCTTTGGATGTGATTTCTTGTTTGTGGAGAATGGGTTTTTTTTTTTTTTCCACTTTCCTTCACCAGTAGACAAGGCAAAGGCCTGAATGCCATGAATGGATTGGGATGTCTTCACAAGTGTGAGCAGGTAACCTGGTCAGTCTACTGCTCCTACCCCCAGACATTCTAGTCTTGACCTTGACATTGAGGGTGCTGGACCAAATTCCTATTTCAGGAGTTTTCCTTCACTTCAAACTAGAAAGCATTTTAAATGCTCAGCAAGTTTTCAGAAAGTGTGTACTCATAAAATTGGCTTTACATGTGTTCCAACTGAAGTCTAAATTATGTTTTTCTTCTGAAATGTGCATTTAACTTCCACAGTTTACTGTTTTCTCTATGATTTTTCTCTCCACCCCCAACTTAACCTAACCTTAAATGACAGTAAAGTGATGGGTTGGATGCAAGATTATTTCAAAATCTTGCTTCTCCCACCCCCCATTAAATACATTAAACAGACATCTCCTTAGGAGACATTAAGAGTTTGATCTTTCTTTACAAGGCTTGAAATTATTCTGCCATGAAAATTTACAGTAGAGCATTGTGTCCTAAGAGGGGAAGATGTGAATTAACAATGGTGATAACCAATATTAAGATAATGTGAAAGTTTTGCTCCTCTACATGATGTCCTTTAATATGGATGTAGCATCGTTATCTTGCAAATAGTCTATCCCTCTGCCCTTGTCATTTGTTGCAAAGAAAATTTTAGTAGAAAACTTTTGACAGATTTTCTCTCTATAATCTGACTCTGGGAGTACCTATTCTTTAATTTTCAGTAAGTCTCTTAGAGAATAAGCACACCCACCCCCACCCCCCGCCCAACAACAACAAAAACTTTTGCAACCCTAAAGATAAGCTGGAAAACATGAATGTCAGCTGGATTCTCAGTAAGAGAACGGTTATTTTACTTCTTGCACCTGGTAAGACCTTTGTTAAAAGTTCATTATCTTTTCCAAAATGGGTGGTTTAGTTTAAGATTTCCACGAAGGTGTCTATTTTCACGCAGACAGAAGCCTGGACTTCATCCAGTTTGGAAGGTTAAAGATCAGGGTCCAGGCTAAGCAGGCTGTGGGTCCTAACTACCGCGGAGGTTGAAGAACTAACAGGGACCGCCTCTGCTCACAAAGCCTCCCAGGAAAGTTGTGTTCAGGACTTCCTCGCCCCTCCCACCCTGCTCGCCGCCCGCTGTCTCTTCGCCCCTGGCTCCTTCTCCCCTCATAAAGCCCCCCAAAACAAACGAAAAATGCCTAAGGGCCTTGGCCCTTAAGTTTCTGAAAGAGTCGCCTCCGGTCTGCCCATCCCCTGAAGCGCGGGATCTCAGCCCCGCAGCCGGGCTGCTTTTCTTTCGGGCGGTCTTCCCCCTCGAGACCCAAGTCTAGTCGGGCTCGGGCTCGGCCCCGGGACGAGGCGTCGCAGAAGTCAGGGCTCCCGCTCGGGGTCCTCAGACCCCTCGTGGGGGCGCCCGGGGTCCCTCTGCACACACCAAGTTCTTGCAAGGCCCAGTCAAAGCTGGGGCCGGAGGGAGGGGACCTCATTTCCTAGGGTCAATTCTCTTGCGGTCTCGGCCCGCTGACCCTTTGATCTCCACCTACAGGGCCCTTGGCGGCCGTAAGCCGGCGGTCGCCCGGGCTCCGAGGACGCTTCGCGCCCCATCGCCTCCCGGCCTCATTAGGCCGGCGGGGCTGTAAAGCAGGAATCAGCCGCTGCCTAATCCGGACCTGGGGTCAAAACGAGCCCAAACAATGGTGAGCTCCGAAGGCCACAGCGCAGCGCTGGCCGCAAACTTTGTGTTCCATTCATTTTCTGAAGGCGGTGGCGGTGGCGGTGGCGG